AACAGCATAAATTCCCTATAAGTGACCCGATCATGCTGATTTTCGAACTTGACCTGCGTATTATGAATATTCATCAGTTCTGAAAGTTTCAAGTCAAAAGGTAAAATAGTTTTCCACTTATCGTGTTATCGGTGCTGCATATATGCTGAAAAAAGTGAAAAAACAGCATAAATTCCCTAAAAGTGACCCGATCATGCTGATTTATGAATATTCATCAGTTCTGCAAGTTTCAAGTCAAAAGGTAAAATGGTTTTCCACTTATCGTGTTATCGGTAAAAGTGCACGGCGACGGCGACGACAGCGACGACGGCGACGACGGCGACGACAGACGCAGATGATGGCTATATGTACAGACACATCTGTGTCTGTACATAAAAAGTAATAAGTTTTCACGTAACAAAACCTTACATTTTGATCTGAATAATCTCTTATCCACATACCTTGGCAGTGAAGGATATCCCATGTTGGAAAGCCTCTTCGTTGTGCAAAGGAATCCTACTGTCGTAACCATCGTCCGACACAAGATCGTACTGCTTCTTGGACGGCATTTTCTTTGATTCTGGCATTCTTCTGAGGCTATCGTTGCCAGAGACGGCTAATCCATAAGGCATACGTGATTCTGTGTTTCGCTAACAGTAGCTCTCCATCGACCTTGTAGAGCAAGGCCAAAGTGCTTGATTTAAATCCAGTGCCGCGAGTCTTCAAATTTACACAGGAGATTTGTGCAGCCCAGTGTTCGAAAGTCTAAATTTAAAGCTAATGCTAACAACTCCAGAAGTGCATTAGGTTCACATTAGCTATTATACATGCGATCTCTTTCAAAATGCCAAAATTCTTGCAAAAAACACCTCAGGAACGAAGAGCGTAAAAACTTTCTTTACTCCTCCATGTTGCGGTAACTTCCGGTCGCGCGAAGTCACGTGACGATACTCCAATTTACTCCAGGGACGAATGAGTCACGAACTTGAATGGCTTTTATTTTAGTTATTACACAGCATTTACACAACGGTATTCTGATTGTGTATTTTATTAAAATATACTTAAAATAACCTGCAAAACTATTTCAAAAGTCCAAAACTGATCAATTGTACCGTTCCTCAAATAAACCCATGGGGGCATTCGTCCCAATCGCCTAAGCATCGTTTCAAATAAATCTCGAAAAACTATCCTATAATTCAAGTAGCCCACTGCCAAAGGAGCACGACTGATCGATTTTTGAAAGCCAACATGGCACGCCAAGGGGTTGGGATAAGAAGGGGGAACGAAACAAGAAAATTGTTTTTAGGTGCAATTAACAATTAGGCAGAATTAGTGCAAATAAAACTATAATTTATTCAATCTCAATATTGTCCTTCTATAATTTGTAGAAATACACGCAAGGTTGAACGAAAAACTTTGTCATTTATTTCCTTAAGTTGCCAGAGAAGTCCCTTTGTTTTTCTATTTGAAAAAGTATCCCTATCTATTTCAGTCAGCGCCAGGACGCCAAGAAAAAAAAAGTTAAATGGGCGGACCCAACAAAGGTGGGGAGGGGGTATCTTCTTGTCTAATCTGCCTCCGAAACTGATGATTGCATCTGTTGTGATCCAGCGCATCTCAAGCATTTTCACGAAGCAATTCCGCAAAATTGTTCAGCAAACACTTTTACTCGTGTCAGACGAGAATGATTATTCAATAGTGCTTACTTTGATATCAAAGAACTTTTAATACATGAAAGTACCAATTCTACAGACTCAGTTTAGACATCTTGAGGGGAAAAATGAAATAAATCTGCATAAGAGCTAGGCCTAGGCCTATATAGCAGACAACCAGGGGCGGATCCAGAGATATTTTCTGACGGTCTTCCAAATTATCTTTGTTGATCCATCCACTATTTCTGACTGTCTTCCGACAGAAAAAAATTAGATACCCGTCAATGTAAACTTGAAAATCTGACCGTCTTCCGGAAGACCCAGAAGACGGCCTAAATCCGCCCCTGGACAACGGCTTTATGGGGCTGCTTTTAAAGAGACTTCGGCCTACACTGTACGCAAGGACTTAAATTTTGATAATATCTTTATAATTCTCCAAGTGTGAATTTATTACTTTATTTCCGATATCGTATTTTTCTTGACATATTCCCACCCGTTTTTAAAACGTTTGTGTTGCTGAAAAATCGTTTAAATCACACATATGGAAATTTAATTGTCCCATAAACAATATTTTGTGTTTGGCGTGTCTTCTTCTAGTTGAATAATCAGCTAAACAATTTGAAAACCTAGCTAACTCCGAGATTCAAGTTGGTTTATTTTAATGGAAGATTTAACGCTACGGTCGGTTACATCATTTTCACGAGTCCAGTTTGGGGTTTCTCGTATTTTCATATGAAGTATAAATCGATTGTGTTGGAGAAGGCAGAACTTATCGTCCACCCATGCGGCAAATGTTTTTACAATGTTTTGAACTGACCAGCCCAACCATCCATATTTATTATAGCTAGATTATTTAGGCGCACAATACACCATGTAAATATCAGGTGTGCTAAGTTCGATTCACGTGGGTATTAAAATGAAAAGGGAACATACAACTAAATTTCTATGTAACTGCAGGCAATTATTTCACTGATGACAATCGTTTCTAATGGCGATCGACCCACCTACTGAAGAGAGACTGATGCAGTAAGCGTCTCAGTACATGTATATTTGACATCTTGTCTATTAATGTTTATGCAAACGGTTTCCTTTAAGAATTTAAAGGTATGAAAAATTGACCCTGTTGATCAAGCAAATAGCTGGCCATACAAGGACTTCAAGAACATGGAAATAACTGGTCTTCAGAAATCATAGCAGCGACGCGATCTCTTCCCAAATTTCTGAAGCGTGGCGAGTCACCACTCCGCGATCGGTTTTGACGTTTCACTCAGAAGAGACGGCGTAGATACAACTTAAAATTCTCTCCACAAGGCCAACATGGGATCAGGTGCATCAAAAGAGAAGAAAAATGCAAGGTTAGTTGTGCCAGCTATGCTTGTTTTGCCCCGTATAAATGTTCTAGTATTAACTTTTTTGTGTGTGTAAGCTAATTTTTGTCAAATTGAGAAAAGTATTTCCAAAATCATTTCTCCATTTTAAGTGTATCTCACTAAGGCCCCATTCCCATAGCACCATCGGTCTACGTGGATCAACCCAACTATACGGGGCCTCTCGCTGACTGTGCACAGTCAGTTTTTAAACTGCATGAGACGCCTCATACTGGAGTGAAATAAATAGAAAAGCTGGTGATTATACAAGTACGTTGAAAACAAGAGAAGGTGTGTCGTTCAGTTAAGCTGATTGCACTTAGCGAGAATCCCCGCAGAGTTGGATCGATCCACGCAGAATGATGGTGTCTTTGGGAATGGGATCTAAGTTTGGGTTGAAATAGGGAAAATAACCTGGCCATATGGTATTGAAGCTGGTCATTGTTAATGATAACTCTGAGCGCCACGTATGCCGCAGCTCGGGTTGTATTTTCCTCAGGGAGATGACAAGGAATTAGGATTGAAAAGACCCGTAATATTATCAATGCATATATTGCAAACAAGCAATGTGTGAGATTTATAATATATACACGTATGTGTTTTTATCATGTCTATGTATTTATATAGTATATTCAATATATGTTGCAAAGAAAGTATAATAAACCTTACAAACAGCATGATCTGCAAACATTCAGTTTGACACAATATTTGTCACTCTTGAAAGTCTGGACAATTGCACTGTGTCAGTTGCGTTTATTGGTTTGTTATTGCAGCCAGGGTAAAGGTGCAGCTACCGCAACAAGCGCTCAGGGTGGAAACGGAAAAGGTATGTTAAAATGATTCATATGGAATCTATACACTTTATACTTATAAGGAATAAAATTATCTAAAAGACCCATAATATTATTGTACCATTTATGTTTAAAGCACATTAAGCTTATACTGAACATTTTGTTTTCTTATATTGTCGAGGCTGATATAGCAAATTCTGCAATCTTAATTAAAACACAGTCTTAGCTTTTATATTACAATTATACTACTGGTTTTAAATTGCATATCTTACTCAGACCCCACCCACTCTGTTCATTTAAGCCCCTGTAAATACCAACCGAACATCACTACAGTGCGCCGACCCACTAGCAGATGGTAGAGCAATGGTGGCCGTGCTGAAAATACAGTCGTAAGCAGAGAAAGAGAGAGAAAGAGAGTGAAAGAGATGGAAGGGAAAATGACCAGTAGATAATGGTTTGATCATGTGCTTTGACTAAAATGGTGTCCCCGGTAGCATTTATTTTATACCAGTGATAATTTGCAGTTAAAAGTTCCATTCTCTAGCGCATTTCGCGCCAATAATATCACTCCTTTCTTTGGGTGGTTAAAAGTGACTTCTGTATTGATGATTTGGATTCATTTCCCGGACAATCGATGGCGGTTTTAATCAACTGCTTGATTTTGTTAGTGATACTTCATTACACGAGACAGACATTTTTTTCTGCTGCATGCGTCGTGAGTCAAGTAATAATTATTTTTTCTCTGGCACAAATCTGTACACAACTGGTATGTTGGAAAGGCGAAAAGGGCAAATGCATTGCCTTCACACCACTGTCTTTTTGGGCATATTTTCCTAACTAAAAAAAGTACAATGTATATGGGACGATCCGAAGAAAAAACTCTTAATTTCTTAATGTCATTATGTAGGCCTTTGCCATCAACCTAATGGTTTCCCTTTGCTGATTGTGGGTTTTGCTATTATAAATATTGCGATATGATATTAAACATCTCATAAATATGTTCATATTAAACTGGGTACTTTCAAGTTTCACCTTCGCCCCAGGAAACCAAGGTCTCATCCTAACAATTTATTCGCATCCACGCAATCAAAACAGGGCGTTTGGGGTCAATTTCCTCCAGAGATCAATGCGCCGGTGATTAAGGATTGCATTGATTTAACGAAGTCTTCTTTTTTGATGCAGAAGGTAGGGCGTCGGTGCGCTAAGTAGTACAAAGGACGACCAATGCAATATCAATAAATTATCCGATTTAAAAAATTGAACAACACGTAAACAGGAAACGACCGGTATGAGGCAGTTACGCATGCTGCTGTAGACAAGTTGTTTTAAGTTGTATAGATTTGAGCCATGTTTTGAAATACTTGCTCACAGTATGGCACCGGTCGATGTTTTTGTGACCTAACTTTTCAAAACATGTATCAAGGAAGTTATTTGTGTGGTTTAGATGAAGAACAAGCATTCAACAAATTCGAAAGCGGCAGAGCGAATTCGTTACAGAATACTTTGAGCTATGCATGACACAACCGACTAAGAAATTGTGCATATGTTCGACCACGGATCGACTGATCTAATATAATGAATATTAAACTGAGTTTTTTGTGCCTATCTGGGACGGTACAGAATAATTACGTTAACCAAGTGACAGCTGAATGATAGAAGGTTTAGGGAGGTGTAAGTGACTCACTGTGAGCGCAATGGCGGAGGATGTTGAAGTCTTAGCTGCAGTGTACGGGGACTCAGTGGCTCAGCTGGATGCTTGCGATAAGGATATCCACGTTATGTTCGAGCTACTGCAGGTATGGGGGGTTTCGAACAAATCATTCACATATTTGTTAATTTGATTACGATAATATTATTATTATCATTATTATTTGGTCCGACATCATCTTCATCAGTTATATTTACTACTATCCCAAAAAAAGTTTTACGTGCGATACCAATAACCAATGGCGTTTCTCTTAATTAATTGATCAATTACTGACAAGTTTTCAATCCTTAAAACTAAGTTATAACTGTAAAAAAAGTCGAGAAAAGTATGTACTTCAAACAAGTCTTGGCTACTTCCTACTGTGTCGCCCTCTCTAGTCCAACGGGGAAAAGAAATGATATGTGTTTTTTCCCGAAGTAAAATCATATTTCACATTCTGTAAAATAAGCAGACCGAAGTTGTAACAGAAATGTTATCAAACATTTGTTTTCGTGCTTTTGACTTTTCTACAATTAAGTAAAAACACTTCCAAACCATCAAATCTAATACGTAAATGATTGACAAAATTTCATCCAAATCTATATCATTATGTCAGTGACAATAAGAAGAACGTTAATCACCCTGACGCACAAATTTTGAGAAATATTTGCATAATGCTGATATGCCCCATTATTTTCTCAACTCCAATATGGAAAAAAATCAACAGTAATTAAAAAGTTGCTATAAGACAGTAATGCAATTATTACACTAAACGTGTGAATGACTGACATTTCTCAAATGTTCTTTGTGAGGTGACCCACAAAAAAAATTTTCAAAATCAGATAATAATAAGTTTTTAAACACTGGCAAATCAACCTCAAAGACGGGCATAAGACAAATGAGACTACAATTGCCTTTATTTTTGTAGATCTTGGTGATCATACATATTATATATAATAATTTAGGGAGACGAAATATGTATGCCAGCAATACAAGTCCACGGTACTGGTATGACGTCATCAAAGGACCAGAATGAAGACAAAGATGAGGACACACTGACGGACAGTGAGAAGAAAAAGAATTGCGTCCGCCCCCGACCACTTATATTATACTTAACTGAGTATGCGATAGATACATTTACGTAATGATCTGGAAATTCAAGAAGTCTTTTTTTCTTAATTTTGTCCTCCATTTTCTAGCTGTTACACCTGAGTTTCTGCATCGTATATATCCAATTAAAACAAGATGGTGTCTATGGTTTGCCATCCATAACTCCGCACTTCCCCACATTGTAATGTATAGCTCACTCTCAGGGAGCTCATTCCCTTAATATCTTTTGTAATGCCTGGGTCCTGTATGTATACATTTTGCAAATAATCCTCAATAACATCATAAACCCCACTCCACCTCAACGGACAGCCCAACCTCCATGAGCATATAAATTATGAATGACCCATCAACATTCCTGATGATAGGTCTATCAATCCCAAAAGTTTTAACTTCCTTGCTCTTCCTTGCTAATGGTCCAGGAGGAGATAGCTGAAGTTACAATATAGAAATTTTGAATCATCCACTCCTAGGGACAGCCCTACCCTAAGACGCAACAAAATGCCAATGTGTCCATGCAAATCCCTTATGATTGGTCTATTATTTCCCTATAAGCTTTAACTTCTTCTCTCCAATGGCCTATGAAGAAATAGCAGAAATTCCCATGAAATAAAGAATTAGAATCATCTGCTCCCAGGGACAGCCCTATGCCAAGGGGCACTAAAATTCTGAAGTGCCGATGTAGACCTGTGCTAAAAGGCCAATCCCCAAAGTTTAAATGTCCTCATTTTAACGATCTTGGAGAAGTTAGAAGACATCAATATGAAAAGAATTTAGAATCAGCCACCCCCAGGAACAGCTCAACCCCATGTTGCACTAAAATTTTGAAATGCCCGTGCACATCTCTGATGATAGGTCTACCAATCACTAAAATTTTAACTTCCTACCCCTAATGGTCTAGGAGGAGATGGCGGAAAATACGATCTGAAAAGAATTTAAAATCAAAACACCCCCCCCCCAAGGACAGCCCAGCCCCTGTTGCACTAAATCTCTGAAATGCCCATGAACATCCCTGATGATAGGTCTATCGATAACTAAAGTTTCAACTTCCTGACTCTAATCGTTTAGGAGGATAAAGCGGAAATTTCATTGTGAAAAGAATTTATATAAACCACCCCCAGGGACAGCCCAATCCCCAGGCACATTAAAATTCTAAAAAACCCATGCACATCCCTTATGACAGGTCACTAAATCTGGAATCTAAGAGGAGATATCGGAAATTATATATTAACGCACAGAAACACTGACTCACGAACGCACTGATGTGCGAGTGGCATAACAGAGCAGGATAACACGATACCCGACTTTCGTCCCAAAAGAGAGGGGATGATAAATAACAGACAGTCACAGAAAGCCATTTTGTCTTCTTTTTTTGCCCAGCGTGTATCGTTTAAGAAATAACATTGCAAAAGCCTATTGTCCATCCTTCTGTTTAACTTATTAGTCAGAAGTCACCTTTGCTCTACCCCAAACGTTCACTGGCACAGTTATGATCAAATATCATGGGTTTTGTGACAGTGAGGAACAAACAGAAGCATGTACAATGTTTGACTTGTTGGATGGTATGGTGTATGACTGATAATTTGAATGGATGGATATGTGGAAAGGGAAAAGTGAAACGGGTATCTGCAGCGTTAAGATGGTATGGTTATACGATAATAATGCATAATGTGTATATTAATGCATGTATGCATATGTGTTACCAGTCCTTTAAACTGTTGGGTTTTAATTCAAATACGATGACACATACAATTCATATTTTTATGTGGAATGTGATTAAGTTGGATGAGTCCGGAAGTACCATTCTCCTAGTTGATGGACACATTCGCCTAGTAAATTCTAAGTAACCTAACATTCTTACAGCAAGTGTTACATAATATTTGCTTTTTGAAGATTATATACTAAAAGTTGGTTTTTATTTCAACACCTTGATTCTCAATTTTTCCCAGTATATGGCGTGGGTACAGGTCCAGAGAAAGATCGAACGAGGCATCCAAAGCTGCCACGAAAATTCAAAGGTAAGAGTATTCAATGTCTGACTACTTTGAAAAAATCGTTTGATACATTGAAACGCTCAGGTGAACATGTTAAAAATGCGTACAAAAAGTTCTTGAATCAATTAATCTTATTGATAGACAATTAATAGTAAAGTAGGTTACTTAATAGTGCGGCGAAGTAGGCCTATATACTCTTGAAAAATATCATCCCTTATGCATTTATGCACATTGCTGCAAAGGTGCCCATAGATTTGAATTTACAATTGCATAAAATCTAGGCTACCGATCTTCAAATAAATTGAGGATGCGAGTACTATAACATTGACCTACCTAGCGTGACCACTGAAATACCCCGACACCAAATATATTTTAATATGCGGCATCTAAGTGAGAGGAATACATTTTTACCAAGCGGCTGACATAGAAGTTAGTTTTGACACTCCGAATGGCCAAAAGGTCGGGTTGTTCCATGAGAATCATTCAGAAGGTTAGACAACATCTTAACAAAAGAGGCACATAAGCAAAATTGTCTGGTTAAAGCCGACAGAAGGAAATCACACATAGAGAAGAGAGAATGTTAACACGACTTCCTCGTAGAAAACGTTCCATGACATGTCGGGACGTGACTGCAGCATTGAACGAGAATAGGGCAAACCGTGTTTCTGAGTTTACTGGCTGAAGACGTCTGCACAGCCGCCGTTATTTTGGCAGGGTTGTTGTTAGGAGACCAGTGATCGCCGTTCTACGCAGAGTCAGATGGTATACCAGAACTCTGGCATGGATACCAGCCAACAACTGGACAATGATACAGTTCTCAGATGAAAGCAAGTTCAGCGTTGTCAGAAGTGACAGAGGAGAACACATAGGTGAAATGATATTTGAAACAAATTCAAAGATGTCGAAACTTGATACAGTTACCCTTAAACAGTAATTGACTAAACCATAAAAATTCTTAATAGATCTAATTTTTCCTTTAACTGTAACTAACTGTAGAAATTGCACCGACATCTGCTTAATCAGTTCGGGACGCATCTTATATAGTGCGTGAACCGCCATTTAATGAACATCTCGGCTTACCTGGATTGATTACTACTTGGACCCGTGGGAAATCATATTACACACGAAGTTTGATATAAATGGCACATATCCATCTTATCTTAATAAATAATTCAGAGGAGACGTATGATATCTGTACTTTGGTGAACTTCTGAGAAGCTAAGGTGGCAGACGTTTTTAAGGTCGCTGATGATGATTTGCCTCTTAGTCTTTTGCACTTTGGTTTTGGAACTTACGGAGACCCCAAAAGAATTCAGTGTATCTTGGGATTTTATGAGGATTTTATTGAACGTGGAAGTTAATTCTTGAAGGTGCTGATACCACACAAGATGTTCACCAGTTAATTTATGAGAGTTATGCTAGCATACTGGTAGGAATGAAACAACGCTCCAAAGGAAGAGCACAATGTGAACAGAGGTTTGGGACAAATGAATTGCCCATTCTGAGACATATGGTGTCATTCCTGTTTGGTAAAATCAGATTCACAAAGATTTTGAATTTGATTGTAGTATAAACTGATGCATATTTTGGGCATAATATACAAGCAATGGGATCGAGTACTGTGGTGGGATGAAAAGTTGAATATGGTGATCTAATGCGACGTATCTAAACCAGGGCATGGTCCATTAATCATTTTCTAATTAAAAGCCATTAGTTGCACCTTAAAGCATGAACGACGCTCATGTATTTAATACCTGGCCTTGACAAAATGTCTTTTAAATACGTCACGTGCATATGCTGCGGTCATAGAAACAGAATCCTTGTCGATAAAAATGGAGACAAGATCACTTACACGTCGAAGTTGCAAAATAGAACATATCACGTTTTTAAACTGAAGAAGAACAGGCAGGATTATTCAGGACGCCCAAAGTATGCAAACGACACCTCTGTTGATGTTTCCCAAAGTGGAAGGATAGAAGGAAAAAACTGGAGATCAGGAAAAATGCTTAACACATTATCAAGACTCCCTAGGTGTGATGATAAAAAACTGAACGATAGTCACACTACTTTGGCAATGTACGTTGGTCGAACTTTTCTGTCATCAATCCCAGAAAGGTGTGAAGTATTTATTAAAATGATAAATTATTGCAAAATCATTGCTAAGAAAAAAATTGATGTTCCGATACACGTTTTAAAGTGAAAAAAAGTAGGCTTTTGTTTCATGGTGATGGACCCGTTATCAAACTTAAGTTGCTTTTTTTATTTCAGAATGTATAGAAGGAGACTTTCCAATCAACAGCTGAGCGAAACATTAGAAAAGAGACACGAAAAAAGAGAAAATCGCAGCAGGCAATGGAAAGAAGAAGGAAAATTAAAACGTGTCGACTGGACCGAAGAAATAAAAATAGGTAAGACAATTTATGTTGGTTTTATATGCCTCGCGTTTTGATAAAGGGATATTTTACAGGATAAAATATCCTGAAAAAAAAACATCAGTACCAAATGGGCACCAGTTGATTAATATTTTCACACAGGAGTTGTGGGGAAGTAAGGGTGAAATTCTGACTTATATAGAATGCGCAGAAGGAAAAAGAAGATGAAGGCCACGGATAATCTACTTGGGGAGTTTCAATAAAAGAGTGATGAAACAAATACCAGATAGCAATGAAAAAAAAGAATAAGAAATATTTAAAACAAAATAGGACAGGAAATAGAGGATTTCAAATGTAATTTTTGTTAAGGGGGAATGCGTTTGCAATCTCCCTGAAAAGTCAAACGTCAGCAAGATCCCATTTTCGTTCATTGCTTCTTAAAACTGAATTGGTTGTGGCATCTTAAATGACATGATTACTGATTAGACGAATACTTAACCTTTTTTTTTTTTGCTGTTGTTAGAAAAACTAAATACTTGGCAAATAGTAATTTTATAATTCGAAACCTGTGAAATATGTTATGAAGAATTTAAAATGATAGATGTATAAACTGACCAATGTATTTAGAGGGGTACATCACTGCGAGACAGTGAATGTGAAATCTCTGCTGAAAATAACACTGGTGGCACGTGGTACGTAATCATGGGCTCCATACTTTGACATCTTCGCAAATTGCGACCAAGCATGGCGATTCGTCGCTATTGCATAACTCGAAAGCATCGCAATTTGCGACCGAGCACTAATAGTGATATCACCGTTAGTTTCAAGTTAGCATCCGTTTTCCACTTTCTGAACTTGAAATTGTTTACTTGTCCTTGCTACAACCAGCTACATATGATAGTGACATTGCATTGTAAAATAAATAAACACAAAATAAACGCTTTTTGTGTTTTAGGTGAACAAACCGAAGAAGAACTGAATTCATTTCAAGATGATATCATAGATGTAAAATGGTTCGCAGAGCAGACTTTAGAGGCAAATTCCATTGGCTACAGCGTAGAAAAAGAAAAGGAACTGAAAAAATGCGGAAAACTGAAGAGAGAAGATCGATCCCAGCTTATTTCACGGACGATAAGACCGAGGATTTTGGTAATTGCTAACAACATGTTTATGGGTCATGAATCCCTTTTTGTATGAAGCCCAGGGGATTTATGACAGTAGCAACTCTTTGATTCTTTTTCTGCATTAAAAGGTTTGATTTTCCAGAAATTGTAAACCAAAGCATATTTGATTACCATAATGAATATTCAACAAGTAATGCATTCTTTTACATTCTAGTTTCAGCCATTTTGTGTTACTACCTGCTACGTTGCTTTTTTTAAATAACATAAGGCTTTTATTGAAAATGAAAATCAAAGCTGTGAAAATAATTTCCAAAATTTTAAAATCAGTGGTATTCTGTTTGTTGGTGTTTAGCAAATATTTTGATTCCGATTTTCAGTTAGTGTCTTCCAATGTTCAGAAAGCTGAACAGTTGATCAAGCATGTAGTGAAAAAGGAAAGCCACATCATTACTATAGCCTATGTAAGTAAAATATTATAATTCATTGCCCGTCTTTATGCTATGCTCTGGCCGTCAATACAGAATCTTCTAGGGAGTTTTTTTATGTAATTTATTATCAAAGTAACACACATAAGTAAGTTGTGACTGTATAACAGTTTCACTACAAAGACATTCAAATGGAGTGACTTCCTGAAGGATGACAAGGGGGCATTTTACCATATTTCACATGTCTACCATATATATACCCACTGACTGACAAAATTTAGAAGAAGAAACGTTGGTAACCATCATATCACAGAATAAGTAGGGGATAAAGGTGGCATTTAACGGAGCAATCCGTGCATAGGGTTTCCATGCCATACCCTACACATGCTGCTAATAAAATTTCCAAGACAAGTGGACATTTTGGCCAAATTTTACATGTCTACCATATGTACCCAATGATTGACAAATTTAGAAACACTACCAATTAATTAAACACTTCAATGAAGAAACCCTAACAACAAAGCCATTTCCATAGCTGCTAAAAAAGTTTAGGTTTTACTGGAACGTTCTCATTGACGGTCAGTATATATATTTTCTTACTTGCTTTATTTTCTTACTAATTGATTAACAGCATGAATTCTATTAACAAGATTGAGACGTGACAATTAATGCGAATTATATCCATTTAATCAGTTTAATCTTGGACAATTAATCTGTTTCATTTGTCCATGGTTTATGTATGGAAGAACGCTCTGTTAACTGGGCATGGAAGTAATAACCGTCCATCTAAAACCTTTCATAGCTAGGCTTTAATTGGTAAAATCCTTAAAGCTTTGTACATGTAGACAGTTGTGTGTTCATGAATTTCGTAACATTTTCTGTGCTATATAAGCCATATCTTTCAAACACTTCAACAATTTCTGAGCCCAGTTTCACATGAAATCGGCCTTAAAATTCCATTTCGTTTTTTTTTTCAGGATTTTGAAAAGACATCATTTCCGAAACTAGCAGGTAATAATATTCTGTGCTATCTACCTGAAGGTTAATTTGCAATTAGAATAAGTCGAGGTATCTTTAGAGTATATCGGATTCTAATTTCAAGAAAAAATTGGAAGATTTGGTCAAATAACAAGCAGTTCTATGAAACGAGTGCAAAGATTTTCATGAATATAGTCGTTTTTTTTTGTATAATGTTATATCACGCACGCCGTCACAAAGAGAAATATATATATATATATTTATAGAAAACCCGTAGGTAGTTTGGTCATGGTGTGCAAGTACTTTATCCCTATGCCTTTTATCTCGAAATAATCTTTTTTCTTTCAGAAAAGATCGAAAAACGACTAAATGAATATAAACAAGGAAGCAAAGCTGAGTCTATTGCATTTTACTGCCAGGTAGGTTATTCTTGAGATATCACAAATTAAACGACACGTTGCTGTATTAAACGACACGTTGCTGTAAGTTTTTCCCTCAGTAAACCATTCTGCAGTCAAGCATCACCATTCATTTGTCGCGTAATCCTGACAAAGTTCCATACGATCTGATGACAGTTGTATCTAACATATTAAAATCCTTCGCTAAAAAGCAAAGATTCTCACAAGCAAGAACTCTTTCAGTACTACTACAGTCAGATTTATGTTTTTCGGAATTTTCCAAATTCCGACGTTCTTAAACTCTAAATCCGATTTACAATTATATTTGATCCATTATCTCTTTCACTTGATGTAGCAGAAAGCTGCTGAAGATGGGGTGTCTTTGCTCTGATTTTGCTACATAATACTTAAATGAAAAATGGTATTCTGTTTTCTTCTCAGGGAGGTCCCGGCCACGCCTACATACTAAAGAAAAGGGTGCTCACTCCAGCTAAGTTGCATAAGCCGGGAGAAGAGGACATGGAAAAGTAAGAGTCGGGGGCTGCTTCAGACAGTCAAATTTTCACTCGTTTGTCAAAGCTTATAAAAATAGACCAAGTGTAACTGGAATGGTATAAGGTGTTATCAAATCTTGTCTAAGTAGAGGGTGCAACGCTATTTTATAATGAGTTAAAGTTGAAGATCACCAGTTTTGAATGATGAAAAACAATGTGACCACCAAAAACCGTCAGTATTGGCTCCTCAGTGTTCTTAAGATTTGATATTGCACCAACAAATTAGGCAAGAGTGTAAACCAAGATCTGTCCGCACTTATAAATTCTCTTTATGATCACGCGTAACACAAGGGAGCTGCGGACCTGTTATGAAAAGGACACGCAGTACCAACGTCACAGTACTGTCGTCTTATTTATGATTCCTCGTATTTAAACTATGGCCTGTTAAAGTCAATAACCAGGAGTCTCATCACCTAAACACAGGCTTGGAAGAGTGACCTCATATTTTCCTAATTAAAAAGTAATGATTTTAGGTTTTTCTCCTCGATCGGCCCTTTGATGACTAAATGCCCGGCAGAGGACGCTGTGGTGTACTTCATGGGTTTTTGGCTCCATGGAAATAAACAAGGAGAAAAGGTGAATGAAAGAATTAAGGCAAAAACTGTAACATCAAACGCAACCATTCTGGTGTTTCACGGGTTTATTTTACAGTTTGCTATTGTAAAATTTATGTTATTCTTTGTTTATTACTAATATTTTAGATGTTTCTCCGTTTTACAGCGTTACAAAAGTCTTTTCCCCGAAGGAAAGAAGTAAATGCTCCCACAACGTTCTTTCTGTCTTTATATTTCATGGAGATGTTTCGTTAAATTTCATTTTCATTTAATTTCCTGGGTCACAACAGAGATAAATTTGCATATTTTATTTCAGTTATGTAAGTCTTTAACGGAACTCATGAAGCCGAATATGGTGAGATTTGAAGCTCCGTTGGAGATGTCAAGGGAAGGTATGTTAGACTTTAATGCATTTGTATTTTCTTTTAAGGAAAAGTACCCATTTACGCCTCAGTTATCTGTCAGACAATTTTAATCAGATTTAAGTTCCACCAAGGAGTTGTATCTGATACAACTCCTTGATTCAACTATGCCTTTGTCGTCATCGAAATCTTTATAATTTAAACTCTTTGGTACTGTCTTTTACCATCATTGTAAAAAGTATTTTATTGTTTGTTTTAGGTGCGGAGATGCTTTCGGCGTATTTCCATGTGGACCGTTACAAGCTTTGGAAATCTCAACAGCACCTAAGTATGGAGATAGACTGGAGAAAAGTGGAGCCGGATGTTAATATACAGAACGGGTCGTTGAAATGACAGTTTAGAGAAACCATAAGTAGAAGCGATTGTGACTCTCATATACAAAATATGTGCAAACGAGTTTATTGCAGCTGATGGGCCAGAGTCATCTGGTGATTGTGTACATTGGCAGTGTATTGGATATGAGGTATTAATCCCACCGCGTACATAGTTATCGGTTGTGTCTAAAACTATAGAGTCCGGATATATGTCAACACTAATTGTTACGTAAATTATTTTTATCAAAACATTTTACTGCACTAATCTTTGTTCAGTTATATACCCCTGTGTCATTTTATGTGATTTTTCTGTAGTGCCAGGGTTTATAAACAACTGTCAGCTACCCGTATAAAACAATCAGTCAGTTGACCAAGTTTCGTTCAACCCTTTACCATAATCTCTGTGCCTTGGTATTCTGTTATGATGTTCTTTGAATGGTTCAAACGTGTGTACCCTACACGCATGCAACCCTGTTAAAACCACTGCATTCTATATGATTCTTTGGTAAAAATATACATGTTTTGAAAACATATGCGGTGTAGCTATGTGAATAAACTACTTGTTATGTACATGTACCCACAGTTACTGTATCATATTTGATTCTGTTTTCAAACTTCAAATTTGATTTAACTAAAACAAAAAAAGACTAAACGACGTCAGCAGAAGGCCAGAGGAGTAACCGTGAAATTCAGTAATCTAGGTCGCATTGTTAGTCCCGTGTAATTTTCAAAGTCTAAGTTAGAACTGATTTCGATACGATTTAAATGTTTAAAAATGATACGTATTCGTGAATCGTCTTAGCCATGCCATCACGACTGACCAACGGACATACTACATGTATGTCTACGACCAAAAGTGAGAGACAGGGTTTTAACTTAAGTACCTTTGTTGAAAACGATCCAAGGCGATCTATATTTCGTATATAGGTAGCGGTGGTCTGTGGAAGTGAAAACGGAGGTAACCCCACCTGCGAACACTTACTAGTATGTCTGCTAAACTATCGGGGAAGATGAGCATCGAATTCGCCCTGAACTTTTAGTATCTGTTACATAATGTTATCCACAAACAATAAAAGTTATACCTTTCATATGACAAAGCCAATTTCTAATAGAGGAGTGCCATAACAAACACCGTCACCGCCATTAAAATAACAGCATTCACATTCAGAATCCGCTGCCATTTGATAGTTTCTTGTACAGACGGTAGTTTTGTTGGTCGGATGGATTCTTCGGCAGATCCAGTGGGGCGTCCTTTGCTTGGTACCCCGCATAATACGCTGAAACATTTCTGCTTCAAAGTTGGCGCTGCACTGCTCTCTGTAATCAAGAAATGTCGGCAATATTCAGTAAAATATTTCTAAACTTTTTGTGGGGGAACAAGTACGGGTATTTTAATACAAAAACACCTGTTATTGTAAATGGCAAAAGTAATGCAAGTACCTTAAACTGCCCGTTTCTGCTTGTTTAAATCTGAATATGATGAAAGAAGATTGCTGACAAAAAACTGACAAAATTCAACATCGCTATTGATAGATTTAAGACCGATTTGCTTAATATACCAAACCTTCTGTCTGTTTCTGTTCTTCATAGTTGGTGCCCGGTCCAGCGCCAGGTTCTTTTGTGTGTAAACCGAGGTCAGAGCTTCTTTTTCTGTTCCGCGTGAACCACGTCGTACCTGCTAACTGATATAAAGAACGAACGATAAGTATCACTCTTTTTCACTTGGAAGCTGCTCGTTGGTTGTCTGATGTCTTGTGAGTTATTACCTGTATTAAAAATGTTATTTCGTTTCAGTAAGATTCCTTTTTGACACATCATAAGGTTAATCTAAAATGTCTCAATGTAAATATAAGATAAACAGAATAAACCGATGGGTGGAAGAGTGCACGAAAGACTATTTAAAGACAAACATCTGGAACCTGCTTTACACTAAACGTCGTCCTTTCTTCGTCATTTGTGCGACCATGAAACTAGCAGAAAAGGAGGCACAAACATCGCTTTGGTTACAAAATGAATGCTCAATGATCGACCAGTTGTCCGCTTGTTAAGTATTATTTATTTATTTATTCATTTTGCTCTCAAAAGGGGACGTACTACGGGACGCAAGGATGCCGTTCAGTGTAAAGGGGGCTTAAATGGAAGATAAAGATACAATCAAGTAGTGGCAATATACATGTACCTGAGCAGGCTCCTGGGGAGTGGTCAACAGACTGATCACAACAATTGCGATAGCGGAGATTGCGGTGTTCAGGATGGAGAAATGGAGGTAGTGCACCTCGGCCAGCACGGCAGGTCTGGTGTCCACCTCCCCGCAGCCATGTTTAGGATACGACCAGTCCAGTATCATTCTAGTGACCCCTACAGCTGTGCCGACTAAAAGGCCCCAGAAAGCCCCCTAAAATTTACATATCCTTTCAACACTTATTATAGTATAAGACAATATGTACACGAAGAACATTTATTTGAGGTTCCTTTTACGGCTATGTAATTCCATAAAATACCAAAATTTTGAAGCAGTATATTCACCAATTCGTTTTTAAAAGATTAAAATAGCCTTTTTAATTCACTGGATGATCTAGCAACAGTAGATCAAAGGCCAAATGAGTTTATCAAAATAAATCAGAAACAGTATTATTTACTTGTTCCGTAGTTCTGTTCCACGCCGCTCCGAGGAGGTACACCATACACCAGGGCGGAGCGATATATGCGTAAATTGACTGCAAGTAGTTCCACAGCTGTCCCCCCTGCACTGCATTGAGAATGGGAATCCAGGCAATACTGACGACCACCAACACCAGGATAAATATTCTGCAAAATAAAAATATTCCATATTGCTGAGCGGATTGAGTTAAATACGTTAAACTAGATATTACGCGCATTCTATTTCAAAATACCTTTTCCGATTATCTTAGTCGGCGTTTCCAAGTAATGATATTCGAAACTAAGGTCATTCTTCACCATGCTAGACTCCCTATTAAAATGTGTCGTTACCTTCCTACAATCATTTTCTCTGTCTCCGTTGCCTGTTTTCTCATCTTGGTCCATAAATCTAAGGTAAAGATGCTACTGGCGCTGTTGAATATAGAGGTTAATGTTGTCGTCAGCGCGGACAGCATGACAGCCAGTATTAACCCCCGAAACCCTACATATTGAGATATGAGTGATGAGAACTGTTAGAAAATCAGGCCTTTTTCACATCGGGCCAAACAGTTTTCTTTATCACACAAGTGTAACACTCTCTAACCACAGGCTGCGCTAATAGTTTGTTACAAAACTATTGTATCGCCAATACTTAAAATTTCCATGCTAATTTAGAAGACTCTGATACCAAAGGGTTCCAGATCTACTAGTTAATCAAGGGGGGGGGGGGAATAATCTCCTTTTCTTGTAAAGTACTATTAATGTATGTACCGACGAAAAGAAATTATTCCACATAAAGGCAGTGTCTCGTGGACTTCGTTTAGTGACTCGCGATATTATAAGCAGGGATACAATATTGTCAATACTACAAACTTGTGTGATACAGAAAAATGTAACGTTCGACGTGAACAGGACCAAAGGCGCTGGATTTTGCCGAGGGGAACAAAAGGAAAAAAAAACAGTAAAACAATCTCCTATACATATGAAGGGCGTAAGAATGTCTTACTTTTTGGTATAGGTGGGAGGGTAGGGAGAAGTGGTAGACCAGGGTGCCTCAGAATCAGAGAGAGGGCGCGTTTCCTATGCGACGAACCCTCTCCCCTCGGTTCCAACGTTGTAAGACTTGAACACACACTGGCACACACTGCTGTTTTTTTTTTTAATAGAACACAAGAACACAGTGTAATGATTCGTAGCTTTTCTTTTCACGCGAGTTAAAAATACGCTCTTCTGGTTGTATATGATGTTAAATAACATGTAAGCGCACTCATGCTTTCCTATAATATTTACCAGTGTGTGTGTGTGTGTGTGTGTGTGTTTGTTTGTTTGTTTGTTTGTTTGTTAGAGAGAGAGAGAGAGAGAGAGAGAGAGAGAGAGAG